ATCATTTACCGACTTCATCAACTTACCGCATTGATTTCAAACACGATTAGATTATCTTAAAACATTCTTATATATGTAGCTCTCAAATTTTCTTGTGCATCACGTCTGGAACTAAGCCGTAAAAATTCGCAATCCAAGTATCCAACAAATTGATCGACTCGAATCACGCCATAATTACCCCCATTCATAAAATATAATAAATTCAAACTAAAAAAACATATCAAGCCAAATCGAAAAACAAATTCAAATGTTGTATGATCAAACTATATAAAAAACTCTACCCTCATTGGTACAAAAGAATTTTCCCTACTAAACAATAAACTCGACGGTCATCTATCGCGTAACATCAGAAAAACAACTTCATAAGTCGAGTATTATCTAATCCAATGATAAAAAAACCTATGCCTTCACCTCATCTATTGAGATGAGTTTTTCTTATCAAGCAGTAACTCGACGGTATATCTATCGCCTAGCGTTATGATCAAACGATAAAAAAAACTCTTCGTTCGCCAGGAGAAACAAATTTTCCCTATTTAGCAATAAACTAGACGACAATGATCTACCGCCTAACTTCAAAAAACAGCTTCATAAGTCGAGTATTATCTAATCCAACATTAAAAAAAACCTCTACTCTCACCTCACCTCACTTGTAGGAACAATTTTTTCCCTATCAAGCAACAATAAACTCAACGGTAACGATCTATCGGTTAATGTCATAAAACAACTTCATAAGTCGAGTATTATGTAATCCGACGAAAAAAAAGAAAAAAAAAAAGAAAAAAAAAAACGAAAACCTGCAATAATACATGACTTTGCAAGAGAATATGCTAGATTTTATAGATAACACAAAGTTATTAAAAGTGACAACCTATGGCTATGTAAACCAAAATTGACCCACTCTTCCAAGATGTGAAATAATAGAAGTTAAAAACAATACTAACTATAATCTGAGATCTTCCAACTCCCAATGTACAATATCACAACAAATCATTCCTGTGAACATGCAACAAAATTTAAATTTCCAAACGAAATGAAAATCTTGCTCAAGTTTTGTGCAATTTGAAGCTGCTTCGGCTGCCCGACTATCATCAGAGAATAAAGGCGAAAGTTCCATCAAGTCACCCGGACTGCTATTGAACTCCATCAAGTACTGCTGCAGGATAAAATTTATGTTGTCTTACTCAGAGGGAAGATAACATGACTAATGACATTATAAAAATCCGAACTTAAAAAATTTTAAGACCCATCAATTAGAACTACACCTTAATGAGATCTATAGTCTGAGTGGCGGTTTCTCGCCGGGCATCAGCACTCTGGAAATTGGAAATGGCTATATCAGCAAAGTGGTAATTTCACATGACATTGCATCAGGGAAAGAAGAAAGTCGAAGGAGCATCGTATTAGCAGCAGTTTGGCCAACACTTGATATACGTGAATCCAACCTTGCGGTAAGTTTCCCTATCAACCAACAATAAACTCCACGGTAGTGATCTACTGCCTAACGTCAGAAAACAACTTCATACGTCGAGAATTATATGTAATCCAAGAAAAACTCTGCCCTCACCTCGCCGATATAAACGAATGTTTTTCCTATCGACCAACAATAAACTAGGCGATAATGATATACCCCCTGACGTCAGAAAACAGCTTCATAAGTCGAGTATTATGTAATCCAACGATTAAAAAAGAAATTACACTTTACCCTCACCTCACCGATTAAAACGAATTTTTCCCTATCAACCATCAATAAACTCGACGATAATTCGACCTACCGCCTAACATTGAACACGGCTTCATAAGCCGAGACCAAATTCTTTATCATACTCTTCCGCGTCTCTATCCTCAACCTCTTCCTCCTCCGCACCTCCTCCATCTCCGCCTCCGGCACCACCGGAGCCGCCCCTCTCTCCATCTCCTCAAGCTCCTTGATCTCCTTCTCGATTCTCTCGAGCTTCTCCACTTCCCTATCGAGCCTCCGCAGCTCGTCGGCCCTCTTCCGCTCCATCCTATGCATTTCCTTACGCTCGAGCTTCACCATCTCGTCGCTCACCTCAAACTCTTCGCGCTTCTTCCTCTCGACTCCTTCTCTTTTTTTCCGGTCGAGTTCTTCTCTCCTCTTCATCTTCCCCGCCTTCTTCTCGTTCCACTTCATCCGGCTCTTCTCCTTCAGCTTCTTCTCGTCTTCCTCTGTTCAATCCAAACAAAAACAACAAAAATTGATGCATAAAACACAATATATAGTTTCATAATCTTGCAACTGATTTTTTTTTTTTGAGATAAAATTATTACCCGTTTTCTTCTTCTTCTTCTTGTCCTTTTCCTTTTTAGTGCTCTTGTGGGCCCATCTCACAATACATGGTGAACTCATTTCAGTCATTTTTTTCCAGTGATCTTGGAAAGTAGTGCCCGGCGAGGAGTAGGTGGTTAGTGGCATTATGGGGGTGTGAGAAGTGAAGGGGTTGCTGGAATTTTGAGAAGGAAGTTTGGAGTACCGTCGAGTCGCCGGAGATAAGACGGCGGCGACAAGACGACGGCCGATCATTCTTTTTTTTTTTTGTTTTTCTCTCTCTTTCAGAAGGCAGGGGAAAAGAGAAGGAGATAAACAGGGGAAAAAGGTCTTTGGGAGTTTTGACAGTGAAAATAGGGTTTTGTATTAGGTTAATCAGTCTAATGAGAAGTTGATCCAAACAATCTGACTCTGTACTCAAGATTGTAGACTGGTTGTGTGTTGTTAAAATTTGGACAATTGATGTTGATAAATGTTATAATGAAATTAAAAGAGTAATGAATGATAAAAAAGTGTTGATTTGTCCTTGCAACTGTTATATGTAAGTCATGGTAATGTTGATGATGAGTACTATCTACTTGGATCTGAGTATAACCGGTTGAGAAGAGCTTCGATTTGCCTAAATCGTCGCGGGTGTACCTGCAATAACTTAACGCTAAAGGGGATTCCACTCGCGAACCTGTATGGAAAATGTAAAGTCAAGTTTGGTGATACCTCAGTCCCTTTTATAGGGACATACCTGCCCAAAATGCTCTGTTCGACTGCCCACGGGCAGTCTGCCCGATTGTGCTTACGGGCATATCCAGAAAATTTGAGTGGGGGAGGCGGTGAACATATATACTTTTCAGAAACATCACACATTCAATATAATAGAAAAATATAATAGAAAAAATATGTACTTCCAAACTTTGCTAGCAATTAGAGAGTTGTTTAATTTTCTTAAGTTATGGAACATATTAATAGTTAACTCGAACTTTCTGTAGAGAATAAAAATATACAGAAAAAATAATAGAAAATTTTTATGTTCGAATTTTCTATAAGCATATATCATGTATTTCCACCACATTAAATTGGGGGGACAATGGCCTTCCCCTGGTTGCGCGGGCTTAGTGTTTATCCACACCCTTGTCATTTCCTAGTCATGTGCTAGTCACCTTTAGATTCCTCTTTATCTCCTTAATATTACTTATCCTTACTTTCTGCTGGTTTAGGTCGTGATCCTTTTAGAGGTTGTCCATCTCATTTTATGCTCGTCGAGGTCGAATCTCTGGTTGCCTAGGTCGTACATAGGTCACCTAAGGGCTAGGTCGAGTTATATTAAGTCTGGAGGTTGTTTAGGTCGTTTTCATGGCCTAAAATCTTTGCTCTTACAGGATGTCGATCCTATAGGTCGTCCAAGAGTGAGGTCGTCTAGTAACTCGATCTCGGTGATCCTCTCTTGACAACTCATCTTTTAAGCCGGTCGAGCTCCAGGTACTTGGGATTTCCCTTGTCTACTTATATGGCTATATCAGTTAATATGCATGTGAATATTTTCATTGGTACTTTGGTAGTGTAAGGTATATTCCATCCTACGCACTTGTGCACATATCGGTTTTTCACTGTTACACCAAAAATGACAAACACCGTATTAATAATTAGTAATTACCTACCTTTATGAATATTGCACAATAATGAATAATATGGTTTTGCCTTATAATTAATAAAAAGTGGAATCGTTATATTATAGGGGATGAATAATAAACTTTATGTAACAAAAAACAAAACAAGTCAAATATTTTACACTTTTTTTTTTTATAAAAAATCAATAATAAAAGTTTTACCAAAATTTTAATATTTTTGAATAATTATGTTAATAGTTCTATTTAAAAACAACACACGTCACCCAAAAATTCACTCACAAAGATATATATAATTATTTTTATAATATTGTTGTTAGACTGCCTAACCAATGAACAACCGTACTACATTACAACAGTTGCATGCTTATATTATGAAATGTCATATTTTGTTACCGATTAAAAAAAATTCATATTTTGTTTATATAATATTTTAACGTATGACAATTTGATTGCAAAAATACATAGGGTCATTCTACTACTTTCTTCGTACATACGTCACATCAAATACCCCTTGAAACTTAATGTGCGTTCTTTTATATATATAAATAAGAAAAATGACGGAACTATTTCGTCGAGTTTGTAACCATCAAAGATAGTTAACGAGACCGTAGCATCTTCCTATAATTAAAGAAAGATATGGTGTGTGCTCTTCTCTCAACATATATAAATAAAGATAGTTAAATAGAGATTAATTTGTTCTCTTATTATATATAAATTTTTTGGAAAAAATAAAAGAATTCTTAAATTTTCTCAAATTTATTATAAAGTTAATTTGTTAATAAAATTACATGAAATTGTCTATGCTATTACCTGCAGAAGTATCCCACACAAACCCATGGGATTATGAATCCCAAGTAGCTTAGGATTAGGGAGTGAGCCATTATTTCTAACTCCAAATTTACTCCAAATTTTTTTCAGTGCATCATTGCAACCTTAAAGTTCGTTATCATCATCACCGTTCTCGGCGAACTGTAAAGATCTCGACGACGCGGAATTTGATGTGCTGACTGATCTACACACACTTCAAAACCCTAAAAAATCGAAGCAAAGTTCGATTTTGCTGTATCCAACCAACCATCTTCCCCCTAACCATGGCGACGCCGAAACCCTCGTCGAGGACGCCGGCGGAAATTGAGGACATCATCCTCCGGAAGATATTCCTCGTCTCACTCATCGACTCCATGGAGAACGACTCTCGAATCGCCTACCTGGAGATGACGGCCGCCGAGATTCTGAGCGAGGGCAAGGATTTGCGGCTTTCCCGCGACTTGATGGAGAGGGTAGTGATCGATCGCCTTTCCGGCGAATTCCCGGCGGCCGAGCCACCGTTTCAGTACCTGCTGAATTCTTACCGCCGCGCGCACGAGGAAGGGAGGAAAATCGCGTCAATGAAGGATAAGGGCGTTAGGTCGGAGATGGAAATTGTGGTGAGGCAAGCTAAGAAATTGGCGGTTTCGTATTGCAGGATTCACTTGGAGAATCCCGATATGTTCCCCGATGGCGAGAAGAACAAGTCGAGCGTGTCTCCTTTGCTGCCGTTGCTGTTTTCCGAGGTGGGCGGTAGCAGTCTCGATGGATTTGGAGGGAGCAGTAGTAGTGGGGTTTCTGCTCCTCCTGGTTTTCTGGAGGAGTTTTTCAGGGATGCAGATTATGAGTCGACCGAGCCAGTATTGAAGCAGCTGTATGAGGATCTGAGAGGGAGTTTGCTAAAGGTTTCGGCTTTGGGGAATTTTCAGCAGCCGTTGAGGGCGTTATTGTTTCTGGTGAATTTTCCGGTGGGGGCCAAGGCTTTGGTGAATCATCCCTGGTGGATTCCGAGGAGCGTCTTTTTGACCGGGAGGGCGATGGAGATGACTAGCATATTGGGGCAATTTTTTCATGTCAGTGCATTGCCTGATCATGAGATATTCAAGTGTGAGCCTGATATTGGGTGAGTGGATACATTTTGTTTCCTCCTGTAAATTACCTTGTCGTTATGTTTCTCAAGATTGATTCTTGAGATGGTTTATATATGAATTGTCTTTTTGTAGTTGAACTTGAGGCTGTCTGGCAATTGTTTTGGTTAAGTGAAAATGTGATTGTATTATTAGTGAATGGTTGTCTCTTGTACTCCCAGCCAACAATGCTTCTCTGAAGCTTCAACCCGCCGCCCGGCTGATCTACTGTCATCCTTTACAACTATCAAAACTGTTATGAACAACTTGTATGATGGGTTGGCAGAAGTTCTTATGTGCCTTCTTAAAAATACAAACACTAGGGAAAATGTTCTTGAGTACCTTTCAGAGGTCATCAACAGAAATGCTTCTAGGGCACATTTGCAGGTATGCTTTTATTTCCCTCTCTCCAATGATGGGCTGGGACAATTTGACTGCATCCACTCTCACGATATTAGAGGTGACTTCTTTTCCTATGTTCTATCCAACTTTAATGTTTTATTAAATTGTTTCTTGCCACAGGTTGATCTTTTATCTTGTGCTAGTTCTGGCATGTTTGTAAACCTCAGTGCTGTAATGCTTCGCCTCTGTGAGCCATTTTTAGATGCAAGTTTGTCGAAAAGGGACAAAATTGATCCAAAATATGTGTTTTACGGTGACCGTCTGGAGATGAGGTAAAGGAATATTGTTGTTGAACCTATTTTAGGTTGTTACTGAAAGTTAACTTTTTCTGGTGGTTAACTTGTACCAGAGGATTGACTGCTTTGCATGCATCATCAGAAGAAATATCTGAGTGGTTTGGCAGTAATACTGCAAAAGTTGATGCCTTGACTAATACTGGTGATTCTCACAACCGGTTGCTACAATCACTAGGAGCTACTAGTTCTGGCAGTAGTACAAATGAACTTCCTGTCCTCCAAAGTAACCAAGTATCCAGAAGTAGTGGAAAAACCAAATATCCTTTCATATGTGAATGTTTCTTCATGACTGCTAGGGTACTCAACTTGGGGTTGCTAAAAGCATTTTCGGACTTCAAGCACCTTGTTCAGGTTTTTCCACGTCTTACTTTAACTAAGCAAGAACTTTTTTTTTGGTTTTGGTCTCTTTCTTCTTCATTAATTTTCTTTTGAGATCGACATCTATGATCAAATTGGGTTATGCGTTTTGGATAGCTAATGTTATAACTTGGATTTTATACTTTGTATTCAGGATATTTCTAGGTCTGAAGATACTTTATCCTCTTTCAAAGCAATGTACGAGCAATCACCTTCTCCACAACTGCAGCAAGATATCACCCGCCTTGAAAAAGAAATTGAGTTGTACTCGCAAGAAAAATTATGCTATGAAGCTCAAATATTAAGGGTACATAAGTTTGTCATTTTTCTCTACCTAATTTTGAGATTTGTTTGTCTTGAAATTGGTACATTTTTGGTTTGCCTCTTTCTATATCATGCCTGTTACTAATTTTTTTTTCATACCTAAAGAAAAAAAATCACTTTATACATGTGGACTTGTAGGATGGAGGGATTCTACAGCGTGCATTGTCTTACTATCGCCTAATGGTAGTTTGGTTGGTTGGTCTAGTTGGCGGGTTTAAAATGCCACTACCGCCGGCATGCCCAAAGGAGTTTGCTTCTATGCCGGAACATTTCGTAGAAGATGCCATGGAGTTGCTAATTTTTGCCTCGCGAATTCCTAGAGCTTTAGACGGAGTCATGCTGGTATATGAAAGAGTTGATTTTCATTAGGGTTTCATCATAATCTTTATTCTTGCGTGCCTGATTTGTTGTTATTTTGTCGCTTGATAGGATGATTTTATGAACTTCATCATTATGTTCATGGCTAGTCCAGAATACATTCGAAATCCATATCTAAGAGCTAAAATGGTTGAAGTCCTCAATTGTTGGATGCCTAGGAGAAGGTATATCTTGGTGAATTTCATTGTGTATTGCATCGCAATTGTTTCTTTTTTTTCATCCTTCAGCTAATTCTTTGATTGTTCTGTATAGTGGCTCAAAGACAACAGAGACTTTGTTTGAAGGGCATCACTTATCCCTCGAATATCTAGTCAGGAATCTTCTGAAACTTTACGTTGATATTGAATTCACTGGATCTCACACGCAGGTGATTGTCAATAATTGTATTTATCGTTATCTGTATGGAGCAGCAAATTTATTTCACACTTAGATTCTTGTTTGAACTAGTATTGTTTCTGGCATAGATCTGCCTAATGTAGATAATAATATTTTTTAACATCTTTTTCTGGACCTCTTTCTTTTGTCTCGCATGGTGGTTATATAAATATGGAAATGATTTCAAGTTCAATAATTGTTTTCTGCTGTCTACCATCTGGAAAAGTGAAACTACCTTTTTTGAGTAAATGCAAATAAAAAGAACATGTAGTTTTAGGACTTCTTAACTCCATGTCTTATGATTAGGCTTGCATCTAGATAGATTATGTTGGTACGATAATCTCAGTTCCAGTTTCTGTTATTCTCTGAGAACTGAGATGGTCCAATATGGTGTGATCTTTACTTAATTGGGTATTCACTATTTCATAATATGATGGAACCCTGAATGTCTCTACCTTAACACTCTGCGGAAGTAAATATGCTGTCTGAATTTGTCCCTTTTTATCACCATATCTTTGACTTATCTCAGTTATATTTCTTGTACCTGTTTGCAGTTCTATGACAAGTTTAACATCCGTCACAATATTGCGGAACTCTTGGAGTACTTATGGCAGGTTCCTAGTCATCGCAATGTTTGGAGAAGGGTAAAGCTATTTTTTAGTCTGCCTATTATTATTATTATTATTATTATTATTATTATTATTATTATTATTATTATTATTATTATTATTATTATCTTTTCCTGGCCATGCCTGCCTTTTTCCTGATGAAATGACTTTTCTTTTAATGCCATGTCCCACACCAGATTGCCAAGGAGGAGGAAAAGGGCGTCTACTTGAACTTCTTGAACTTTTTGATTAATGATAGTATTTATCTGTTGGACGAAAGTCTAAACAAGATTCTTGAACATAAAGAATTAGAATCTGAGATGTCCAATACTGTGGAATGGGAGAGAAGACCTGCCCAAGAGAGGCAGGAGAGAACTCGGCTTTTCCACTCTCAGGAGAATGTCCGTATTCTCTCTCTCTCTCTCTCTCTCTCTCTCTCTCTCTCTCTCTCTCTCTCTCTCTCTCTCTCTCTCTCTCTCTCTCTTCTGTCAAATCATTATCATGAGTGCTGATTGAAAAGGTTGTTCATTTTGTTTTTATGTAGATTATTAGGATTGATATGAAATTGGCCAATGAAGATGTGAGCATGCTGGCATTTACTTCTGAACAGATCACATCTCCTTTCCTGCTGCCAGAGATGGTACATATAGTCTTACGAGTTACGGGTCAGCTCGTTTTTGGGTATGCTATAATTGAGTTTTGCTTTCAATGCACATCAGGTTGAAAGAGTTGCCAGTATGCTGAATTATTTCCTATTACAACTCGTGGGTCCTCAAAGAAAATCCCTTAGTTTGAAAGACCCTGAAAAATACGAGTTTCGACCCAAACTGTTGCTGAAGCAGGTATAAGAAAGTCACTTGGTATAGTTATATGATTCTGTATAGTACTTTTTTTTTTTTATCAGATTTCACCTATTTTTACATCAATTTTGAGATAGATGAAGCTGCCTGCAAGATAATCTCATTTGCTTCTAACTTTATGTATCTGAAGATTGTTAATATATACGTCAACCTTGCCCGAGGAGACAAGGATAACATTTTCGCCTCAGCTATCATAAGGGATGGCCGATCATACAACGAACATGTAAATTTCTAAACATTTTTCCTTATCCTTTTTTTTCCCACCTTTGGCTTTTATGTATATTTTCTTTTCTTATCTAATTATAATTTCGTTTGTGTGTGTGTGCAGCTATTTGATGCAGCAGCCGATGTTTTGAGGAGAATCGGGGAAGATGTTAGAATCATACACGAATTTGTTGAGCTCGGAAGAAAAGCTAAAGTTGCTGCCTCGGAGGCTATGGATGCCGAAGCTGTTCTTGGTGACATACCGGATGAATTCCTTGACCCCATTCAGGTAAATATCGATTTCCATTACGTCATTTTGTTATTTTTTTTTTTCTTTTTAACATCGTTATTGTTTTTCTGATTCCAGTATACATTAATGAGGGATCCTGTCATTTTGCCTTCTTCCAAAGTCATTGTGGATCGACCGATCATCCAGAGGCATCTTTTGAGTGACAGCGTATGAATATCTCACATTTTCGAATTTTAGAACCTTTTCCTCCTAATTTTTTTTTTTTTTTTTTAACAATATATTTTGGAATTTACAGACAGATCCATTCAATCGGTCCCATCTAACTGTGGATATGTTGATACCGGACGTGGAATTAAAGGCGAGAATAGAAGAATTTATTAAATCTCAAGGGTTGAAAAAGCATGGTGATGAAAACATGAGCATGCAGCAGGATAAAGCCACCATTCAGACAACAGATACAACTTCTTTGATTTGATTGATTAGCTGAGATATTTTTATGGTGACAAAAATCTCTGTATAAATTAGCTTGTCATAGGTAAAATGGTAAAATGTTATATTTACATAACCTTATGCCTTTTTTACCTGGAAATCTTTTGTCTGGGATGCTGTTCTGTGTACCAATCATAGTTCATCTGGATACTTGTTTAAGAAAACATTTGTTCAACTGAATGAGATATCAAGACTTTGACATTCAAATTTTTTTTTTTTTCTTAGTAATTGTACAACAATCTCACAAGGGGATTATCGAACAATGATTTCTATTCTTTTACCCGAATGTGATGGGAATCCTTTTCGGCAGAGGCTTTCATAGCAAGGCTGGACTTGAAATCGACATCCCGAACATTTTATAAGGTGACAGTTTCCAAATCGGTACACGCATTCTCTGGTCGATTTTCAAAGGCAAACATGGAGTAGCTGTACTTTTACGGGTTTTCAAGTTGCTGTGGCTGACTTCCTCTTGGAAAATTCATCGGCAATCCTTATGGCGTTTAAGTTATGGCGGAGATAAAACTCTGCCAGGAGAATTTGGCGCTCGGGTTCGGTTAGATCCCCATGACAACCCTAAAGCAAGCAAGCAAGAAAAAAAATAAAGTAAGCATATAACACACAAGAATTAAGAAAAGAAAAATGAAAAGACGATCCATAAAATTGTAGAATATATACACAACAATGTATAAAATCGTAACATTGTTCATATAACCGATTACCAGAACTGAGCTGCTAAATTGGGATAAAAAGGAAAGAAAAAAAAAAAAAAGGTTACTTACCATGCGCAAAGTCCTGTCACACACAGCTTGGTGCATAACGAGGCCTGCAGCTACCGAAACATTAAATGAGTCAACCATTCCTCTCATTGGTATACTGCAATGCAAATCCGAAAGCTTAAGAGCATCCTCACTTATTCCCCTGATAACATGACAAAATTAAATTAATTCCATCAATGTAAGAAAATCCAAGACAAAAGATCACATCAAACATTCAAGCCAAGAAAATATTGTTCGTGCCATAAAATCAAGATGCAGCTCGTTGATATGCCAAATGATATGCCTAAACTGAGAATAGCATACCTAAGTTCATTCCCAACTACGATTGCAGTAGGGCACAACCAGTCAACGTCGTAAACTGAGACCTGGGCAAATCACCAATCATTCTAATACTTTAGCTGTAAAAGTTTGATGAGCTTCAAAGTAGGAAAAAAGGACCATAAATAAGGGACGAAAAGATTCGTACTGCATTCGTCCCCAGATGGGTTGTAGCAATTCTATAGCCGCGTGCTTTCAGATTCTCAAAGCACTCTCTGACAGAAGACCAAATTTCGATATCCAACCACTTCTCGGCTCCCATGCTGACATGGCGATTGTCTCTGTACCTGCAATGGCGAAGAGGTCAAAATCTTGCAGATCAACTCTAGCAATATCCGAAAGGCACTTGCTTTGCTCCAAACATAGTTGTAGTTGTAGTTACACAAGAATACATCCTCGACAGGTACTAAAAGCGTAATCTTTCTTGTTCGTAAATTATCCAAAAGAAATTTTCACCTTCTTGAGCTGTCACACGACACGACATGAACAGACTGTATCCCGAGCGCATCAGCAGACCGGAAAGCAGCCGAAACATTACCAAAATCACTTAAACCCTCGACCACCAAACACACAGAATAGCTCCGGTTATTCACCACATTCCTAAACCTTTCCTTCCTCACGTCCATTAGATACGGGTCGATCGCCTGCAAAACCTCACCGCTGCTCAAATACCCGTCGGTTGCTTTATATCTATCCAAATACGGAAACCAACGGCCCCTCCTCTTCTTCGACTCGCTGCCCTGACTCGAAAGGCGCTCCATTTTCATCAGCCTCGCGATGTCGTCCCTGTCTTTCGAAAGCAGCTCCTTCACGGTGTCTTTTCTTGAATCTTGAGGTGCGTTTTCCTCTGTGCTATCCGATATTTCTAATGGAACAACTCCAATTGCAGAGCTGAAGCTTCTAGAAATGGAAAATGGCTGGTGGGATTTGAATTTTCGACCTAAAAAAAAAAAAAAAAACTGGTTAATCAATTGAGAGAGCTAATACTGACAAGTTTAAACAGAAATGCACCTGAAGAAATTGGAGAAGAAGATGAAAAGCTTCGTAGGGCAGCTGAACCTCGGCTTCGAGCTCGGAATTCCAGACATGATAAGGGAGTACGGATTAGGGTTTTGCAGGCGCTCATTTTGCAGATTGCAATTGGAAGAGGTGACTGGCGACTCCTAACGACGTCGTAGAATGGGGGGCTGCAGATAATTTTATAATTTGATTATTGGATATAAATATATAAGGAGATTTTACGGTTCCGTTATGGGACTATTTCGTCGGGTTTGTAACCGTTAGATCAACTATCCACTACAGTTACATGATGATCTAACAGTTACAAATTCTGACGAAATAATTTCATAACGGGACTGTAGCATTTTTTATAAATATATACTAGCGGGTGTTTGAATAATAATAATAATAATAATAATAATAATAATAATAATAATAATAATAATAATAATAATAATAATGATAATGGAAAATACTACGATCTCGTTACGGAACCATTCTGTTAGAATTTGTAACCATTAGATGCACATTTATATTAGTTATCATGTGCATCTAACGGTTACAAATTCCAACAGAATGATTCCGTAACGGGATTGTAGCATTTTCCAATAATAATAACAACAATATAAATAAAAATTCTAAAAGGGCACTGTAATAAAATTGAGAGAAACTTCTAACTTTATTTTTATTTGCACATTTGTGATTTTTTTTTTTTTTTACCGTTAATCTATTCATTTTCACGCTTGGTAAATATGATTGATCTGTGATTTATTTTTGCCAATAATTTTAAATTTAATTATTATAAAAATTGGATGTTAAATATGATAATCTTGTACCATAACACCTCATAAGCAGCAAACATAAGGCACACTAAAATCACTGCAATGTCAAATTCAAAAACTTCCCTTCAAACATATCAGAAAAACATCAACAGCTTACTCTACCAATTACATCATATTCTATCTTCTTCTCAGTTTTCAGCCATTTTATCGAATTTTGTTCTTGCATATACGCTTTCTCAAATTTCCGATCATCTCAAAATCCCGTCTATACGTTCTTTTCGCCACATTCAGCCCGATTTTTCTCTCTTGCAGCAAATCTTCTGGGGATTTGAATCAAATGCCAAAATCTCACATCCCCCTAGCATGCATGCAATAATCAACAGAGTATATCCACTTATAGATATTTTACCTTTTACCCAACGCAAAATCGCTCTCAAATGTAAAAGTTGTTATCTTGAACACTTTCGAGTTTCGACTGTTCTGAATCCAAAACACTTGCAGCCATAGTCAACAGCCTGCGGAATCAGTTGGGTAACGTTAATTTCAGATGCCAAGAAAAGTTATGTCATCCAATCAGATAAGAGAAGTGAGAAAAAGGGCTTGAATAGACTTTTTTCCTGGTAAATTCCTGTCATGAAGGAACCATCGAAGGTAAAATAATCCAATGCACGGTGGATCACGAAAGGATTCTATCTCATCCTGCAATTACTCGACACGTGTAAAGGGGGACTTGGATATCGAGAAGAGAGCTAAATTTGTGAGGGAAAAAGCTAGGGAGGCCTTGTGATATTTGTGAGAGCTCCAAGAAGGTGCTTATGGAACTTATGGAGATGAACACTTGTAATGAAATGTAGATAGATATTTCAGCATAAGAATACGTAACAAGTTTGTATGCAGCAATGGAATGCAAATGTTGAATTTGAAATAATCTTCAAGGGATACATTTTAATCAACAAAAATAATATCATCATCATCATCATCAGATTTTAGACCCACATTCAGAACTCAAATCTCATTTTCAACAAAATAGTTTCATACGCTATTCTCTGCCAACAATTAAAAATACTTCAAACCTGAAACAAGAAATGTTTTCAATTATACTTTATTACTATAAAAGGAAACAAGAAGTTCCACATTGTTATAAGAGTCGAGTCGAGTCAAGCTGAAAGAGTTTTCTTCGAAATGAGATCGAAGGCTATCCCGTTCTCTTGCAGCCCCTTTTCCAGTTCCGTGGGCCCAAACACAATCCCAGGTGTAAAAACCCCTCCTTTAGGCAGATCCTCACGCTCCTTCAATAAAACGAGCGCACACTGAACAAGAATTATAGGAGTCGTCAGATATCCTATCTCGGGCCCCATTACCCTTGTAATAATTTCAGTATCAGGTTTTTTATTTCCCTGTGTTGCAAGACTACTGTCAGAAAATCCTTTCCCAACAAACCACATCTTAAACGTGGCACTTTCGACTTCATCCTCAGAAGGCCCTTCTTTCCTAAACCACCCCAGGCTGAAAAACGATGGGAATTTCAAAAGAAGCCATCTCCCGATCGCAAATTTGCTTAAAATCGCCAGGAATATCCCGAGCATGATAGTTGGAAAGAAACCGAGCAGTGATTTTGAACCCAATTTCACGCCAAAATGAGCTGGCTTGACAGACGACCAAAAGGCCTCCCTTTTTTTTCGGCTATCATCAGTTTCGTGAATACCAGGTAGCCCGTGTGGGTTTTCTGTAAGAGTGGATAAAGTTCTTCGCACGACTATGGAATCTGCTGATGGTAGCCTAAGACCCCAAAGGCTGAGCTCCTTATGGTGCTCAATCATGGAGCCTTTGCCAGGTGGGGGGCCCGGAATCTGAAAATAAACATGAGAATTTGAGTTCAGACAAGTTGAGATGCATCGAAAACCAAAAGAAAATAACAAAGTGCATATTCGCTTCACAATATGAATGCTTGTTGATACCAAAAACTGAACTATATGATGTTTCCTCCTGTCAACTAATTCTAAGATAACAATTCACAATACCGATAGCCCGAAATGATCACCAAAATGTTATTCATTTTCGTTTTTTCCAACAAATATACTCTCTATGTAGAGAAAATCAGGACAAGTACTAACCAGTTGAAAATTAAAAATGCGGATCTAACAGAATAGAGAAAGAAGTCAATCAAAAAATCCATTTTTTTTTTCCCTTTTTTGTATGCAGAAGACAGACGATATACAGTGCATATCCATTTCATGATTCGGATTATAAATGTGACGAAACCATCATCACAACACATTACAAAATGAGTGCTAGTTGATACCAAAATTGAACTATATGTCTAATCCGGTCGACTAATTCCAAGAGGACAACTTACATCCCAATATCGATAACCCGAAAAGATCACCAAAATGTTATCTTGTCATCCATTTTCGTTTCTTCAGCCAATAGATGTTCTTTTATCCCAATACAGAAATCACAACAAGTTCTAACCAGCTGAAAACTATTCAAAATGCAGAACTAACGGAATAGAGAAAGAATCAAACAAAAATCCAATCTTTTTAACAGAAGAGAAGAGAGGAAACCATACCACGGGCCGGGCCCTTTTTGGTCGAGACCTTCTAAATTCAACAAGTTTATCCGCATTAGCAACCCCAAGAACTGCCGACTCATAAGTTCCGAAATTCCCCACAAGTTTCTTATCCGACTCCAAGCTCAAATACGCCTCCACCCGGTACGGAACGGACGAACCAGTCCAGTGCCTGGTATGAAACAGCAGCCCGATCTCCGCCGGCACAGAGTCAAACCCACAAGCCGAGACGACCAACGAGCCCTTCTCCGCCGCCTTCTCATGGTACGAAGCCTCCATCCTCTCCATAAACTCGGGCTCGCCACAGATGTCAAGGTAATCGCAGCCCGATTCGACGCAGGACGCAACGACGGGCTCGCCGTAGAGCCGGAACGGGCCAACGCAGTTCAGCAAGATCCTCGCCTGGGCCGCGATGCGGGCGAGAGAGCTCCGGTCCGAGGTGTCGGCCGTGAGGAGGGGGATCTTGGGAGGTGGGTTTGGGCCGGCGGCCCATTTGAGCGCATCGGATAGCCGCGACGGGCTGCGGCCCGCCAGGGCTAGGGATTTGAGGGGCGAGTTGGGGGCACCGAGGAATTTGAGGGCTTCACGGAGGACGTACTTTCCGGTGAAGCCGGAGGCGCCGAAGATGATGACGTCATAGGGCTTGGAGGTGGGGATTGTTTCCGCCATTGTTTTGTAGTTGACAAGATCGAGGAGGAGAGTGGAGAGGTGTGAATTATTTTACTGTGTTTAAAGCGTTTCTATGAGTGTGCGTTAAAATTGCTAGTAACCTAGAAATGGGCGCCGAATTCATAAATGTGTACTGCGTGGTGGATTAGCCGATAGGGTGATCAACGTTGCAACTCGGCGAAAAACCGCACTGAATCGAAAAAATCAAAAATCGGACTTGACAAGAAAAAAAATAACTGAATCGAACAGCAACTTTTTTTTAAAAAAAAAAAACCGAACTGAAATCGAACTGAAATTTTTATGCACTAAAATAACCGAACCGAACCACACCGAAATGCACGGTTCGGTTCGATTTTTTGGTATTGTCTCAATTTTTATGTACATTTTTATGCTTTGGTGCGGTTCGGGGCAAAACCACATCGAACGAAACAAAACCGAAAACCGAACTGATGAAAAACTATAATCACACCGCACCGCAATGCTGGGAAAACCGAACTGAACCGAATTGATTTTTTTTTATATTAAAAAAACGCACCGAACCGCACTGAATTTCTCGGTTTGACTCGATTTTTCGGTTTCGGCTCGGCTAGATCATAGAGCATTGGAACTTGGATGTTAAGTATGGATATGTTTTAGTTTGTTGTTATATTCAAATTGGTTCTATGGTGTAGTGGTTAGCACTCTGGACTTTGAATCCAGCGACCTGGGTTCGACTCCCGGTAGGACCTTTATTTTTAAACGGTATTATTATTTTACACGACATTTATTTTTTGAACGGTATTATTATTTTACACGACTTTCACGCACATTATTACCATACAAAAATCCAACTTAATTTTTTTTTTTTAAAAAAAAAAAAATCTACAAGTTTTATAACAGAAACAACTGTGAAGAAGGTGTTTGTAATTTCATTGTATTAATTTCCCTTGTTTATGTGACCAAATTATATATTAAATCACCATTTTTTTTTTCAAGTTAATTTTACAAAGATTTTCCAAAGTTGTCAAATATAATAACACTATCTTCTTATATTTGAGGACTGGAACACCAAATTCATCTTAGGTCGTATGACATTAGGCCTTGCATTATCGACTTAATAAAATTAAAAAAATAAATAAATAAATAAATAAAATCATCTATCTATCAAAATAAATAACTACATTTTTCATCAAAATTGCAATACAATTAACCAAATAAATACACCTAAAATTAAATTCTATTTACACAAAAAAATTAGAGTGCAAAGCCACATCACCAAACTTTTCTCGGTCCCACGAGGCCCATAATCTCCTCCCAAAGCCCAACACTCTCCTCCCCAGTCAGCCCAATCACGCTCGAGCTGCAGGCAGCCACGGTCCAATACCCAGCCCGTATCTCATCCCTCAGCTGACCCATTTCCCATGCACAGTAGCCGTCGTAGAATCTGAAGTCCCCGGGCCCCACCGCCCCCCTCTTCACCATCTCCGCCGCGCAGCCCATGCTCTCCTTCGTCCCATAGTACAATCCCTCCATCACCTCATCGAAAAAGCCCGCCGACGTGCCTCTCAGGCCCATCAGGAAAAGCCCGTCTTCCAGCGGGCCTCCGAAGAACAGCGGCCGGCCCGAGAAAGGGCCCGAGACGCCCACTAAGGCTGACCGCATCTCCTTGATAGACATGAGTGAGGGTCGGTTGAGTATGAGGCCCTTCGGGCCGACGGACCCGATCGAGAGGAGGAGGACGACGGTCCGCTCGAATATGTGGACCCCGTCGAGCTTCTCGGTCGCGATGAGGAGGCACCCCTTCTCGGGCTCGTGGATCGCGTGGGCCCACCTGTCGGTTATCGGGATAATCATCCCGTGGGTATGGGCCTCAGGATCGAGGGCCCGTTCCCCTGCGACCAGTTTTGCGCGGAACATGCGCCAGTCAGAGATGATAAACGGGCCCGCCTCGCCTCGAGGTGATGAATTTGATAGGCAACCTGTTGTACTTGTTTCATGGGAGTTGAAAGAAACACATGGTTCAAAATCAAAACCCTGGTAAATAAGTTTTTCACCGTTGGATGAAAACACATGTACACATCTATATACTACGTGTATATTGACCAAAGAGATTTAGTGAATGCAATATCAAATAATCCCAGGTGAGGAAAATTGCATTTTTAGTCTTGTTAGTTTAACGATTAAGCAATTTTAGTCAATGTTGCAACTTTTCGCCAATTTTAGTCAATGTTCAAACTTTTCGCCTTTTGGCAATGTAATTTAATATTTTGCTGTAATTTTTTAAGATTGAAATTGCAATCAAATGTTAAATTACAAACTAAACAATAAAAACAACATAGTCTTTTGTCCACCGCTAAATCCTTCGAGATATTCCAATCTTTAAGGTCTCTCTTAACCGACTCTCCCCAAGTGAGTTTAGGCCGACCTCTACTTCTCTTTACAAAATTATAAACTAAAATTGCAACAAAATTTTAAATTATAAGACTTAAATTAGTAATAAAAAATCTTAAATTTGGAAATTAGTTGCAATTTCAGTTTAAAATGACTCTAGTTGCAAGAAAATACCAAATCAAAAGACCAAAAAGCAAAATGTTTGGAATTTTAGGACTAAAATTGTTATGGCGTTAATAAGTAGGACTAAAAATGCAATTTAGCTTTTCAATCAACAATAAATTCATGTGAGATTCAAAAGAGCAAGCATACATGAAATAGAAATCGAAGACCCGAATTTCCTTGAGATTTTTCCTCTAACTTTGGGAAGAACTTCAATGGCTTTTGCAAAGGAGGAGCTCGAGGAGAAAAGGCAAGCTTCCATGGTGTTTATAAAGTGTGTGATTATGAAGTATGATATGTTAGCACTTTGAGTGAGAAGAAAAAGGGTGTGCTTTATATGCATGCCAAAGGATAAGATGATATATTGTACTTGTGGGCCGAGGATGAATTCAACCCACGAGTTGTTTCTTTCGAAGCTCAGCTCTTTTATAGATTACGTGGCAAACTTTGAGCCAAATTTAAAATTTGTTCTTTTTTTTTTTCCTTGGGAGCTTTTGTTATTCTCTCGTCGGGAACTTTTGTTTATCTATTTTTTTGTGTGTTGTGGTAGGTTGATTCTAGAGCACTCGGTTGTGGGTGTCTCTCCCTATCAGAGTCAGTTGGCTCTTGGGTTGTATTCATGTATATTTTGTGCTATATATTCTCTATCGTTTCGAAAAAAGAAAATGTCTATATTGGGAGCTAAAAGTGAAAAGTGCATTAATCTTGGTTGAGATACATGTGGATGTGTGGATGGAAAATACTCTGAAGTGTACAATTGATGGAACAAATAAAAAAGAATAAATAACTCATGAGTCAAGAATTTCATGGCACCTTACTCAGTGGTAGACCAGGATTTTCTCCTCTACTGACAGCTCTCCAGTCTCCATTGACCCAATGATAAATCCCAAAACTTCATTTTGTGCACATCTTGATCAGCTGGCATTTCTTGTGGTCCTACCCGGCTCGATTCCGGATTAGTCGGTTCCCCTGTGGATCCGGAAACCGGAAGGTCCCTGTACCAAAAAAATAATCCATATAAATGGTTAAATAGAAAAAATAAAAAAATTAAATAAGCAAGTTCATAGATATGTATAGTAAAAACTAATATTCATGTTTACACTCTCCAAATTCAAATGCATACATGTTTCCCATGCCTCAAAACTTCCTTTTGCAATCACACACTAATAAACACTTACAAAGCAGCATTTTACATGGCTCATCCAGCTCGAGCGAGCAGTGAAGAAAAAAGTTCGATTTTCGATTGTCTATGGTCGACTCGACTCGACTCGTTTGAGCCCAACTCCAGATTCAAATGCATACATGTCTCCCATGACTCAAAACTTCGTTTGCAATCACACACTTATAATCACGTATAAAGCAGCAGTTCGTCGAGCTCAAGCAGTTAACAAAAACGTTATGGTCCATGGTCGACTCGTTTGCAACCCAACTCCAAATTCAAATGCATACATGTTGCTCATGACTCAAAAACATCTCTGCAATCATACATTTATAAATATCAATCAATCAACAAACCGTTATACACTTATAAATATACACTTAAAAATCAACAAAGGCATTTCCTTTTACTGGAAACCGCCGCTAAAATTCACATCCGACAAAATATCGTCTACACCACGAGGTCCGGGACACAGCCAATCTTCCTAATATGCTCGTTAAGCCAATCGACTGTTCCGTATATCCTATCCGATATCCGGTGACTTCTATCCATGGCCTTAAACCTGTGAAATCTATTATCCAACTCTATCGAGCTAACCCCAGAGACCCTTTGCCTCATCATCACTCTCACATTCGCAACACTCGACCAATCGCCCACTGAAGCGAACACGCTCGACAACACGAGATTATAGTTCTCATAATTTATTTGCGGCTCGAATTTCACAAGCAGGCCAAGCACCTCCTCACTCAGCCTGGCTTCATTATGCATCCGGCAAGCCGCCAAAATCGAACCCCATATAACAACATTCGGCTCGAATGGCATCTCGTGTAATACCCTAAAAGCTTCATCCAAGCGGCCCCCACGGCCCAATAGGTCAATCAAGCAACCGTAATGTTCAATTCGTGGACAAATTCTATATTCACTCTCCATACTGTAGAAATAACTGATTCCTGTCTCGATTAGGCCCGAGCGGCTACAGGCGGACAGGACACCCACGAAAGTCACATTGTCGGGCTTTAACCCTTGGATTCTCATTTCGTTGAAAAGCTGAAGGGCCTTAGGCCCGTGACCGTGAATGGCCAGCCCGTGTATCATGGCATTCCAAGAAATCAAATCTTTTTTCTCGATCTGATTGAAAATCCTCCATGCCTGGTCCAAGCTCCCACATTTACAGTACATGTCAACCAAGGCATTACTCACCACGGTACCACATTTGGGCCGATTCTTCATTATCGAACGGTGAACTTTCTTCCCCAGGCCCAACAAACCGGATTCTGCACTAGCGGACAAAATACTAATGCAAGCCCCATCATCGGGCCTGAAATTTTCTCTCTCCATTTGGTGATAAAGCCCAATTGCCTCCTTTCCTAGGCCCTTCTCGGCATACCCGGATATCATAATCGTCCACGTCACCGCATTCTTGACGGGCATGCCATCGAACAACACCTTAGCCATCTCGAGATCGCCTGTTTTCACAAAACCGAAAATGATGGTCGACCAAGAGACAACGTTCCTCGACGGTATTTTCTGAAAGAGCTCGAATGCTTTGGCCATGTCTCCATCCTTCACGTACCCGTCCAGAATCGCGTTCCAGCTAATGGCATCTCTTTGGGGCATTTCATCAAACACTTTCCGGGCATCAACTAACTGTCCACCCCTCACCAGCCCAGTGATAATCGAGTTGTAGGAGACTACATCCCTCTCTCCCATCACATCAAAGACTTTCTTTGCGGCCTGAATGCCCTCCGGCCCGCACTTGGAGTAAGCATCGATCATTGAATTCGGCACGAAGGGGGCCATATTAAGACTACATTTCTCCACCAGTGCGTGAATCATCCCCACCGATTTCAGATCCGAGCAGGCCTTCAGAAGAAACTGGTACGTGTGGTTGTCCGGAGGGATCCCCGACAGCCGCATCCGGCAGAAGACCTCGAGGGCCCGGTCGGGCTCGGAGTTTTTTATGTAGGCCTTGATCAGAAAGTTGAACTGGTAGGAGTTCGGGTTGGGAATTTGGTCGAACACCTTGACGGCGAGGGCCATCTGGCCGCAGAGGGACAGGGAGGAGATGAGCTTAGGGGCCACCAAAAGGTTCTCGTGGAGGTTGTGTTTGTATATGAGTGCGTGCATCTGCTTCAGCTGCTTCAGGTCCGTGCAATTGCTGAGGTCAGCGAGCTTCTGCTCGAAGAGACGCCGGCGGGAGAGAAACTTCGGGGCCCTAATAGGCGCCGGAATCTGCATTTTGGCGGGAGGAAGCTGAGCTATCATGGGAGGGTGGAATTTCGGTGGCGGGGTTTGAAATGAACGGCGATGGGTTTAGTATTGCGGATAAGAGAGTTCCGTTTTCTGGTTTTTGCGATTACATATTTTGGTGAAATTCGATTTTACCCCGTTACTTTTGGTGATTATAATAGTTGCTCCATGTACATAGGCCTGTAAATGAGCCTAGGCGAGCACGGGTTTAGGTGTTCGATCTCGAGTCGAGCTCGAGCTTTAATGAGTCAAATTGTATATGATTATACAAAAATTATCTATCCGAATCTTACTAGCACCCACAATGCATTGTGTCTAATTTTACATATGTGGTATATAAATAGACTTAAGTCCTAAATGACATGGACAAACCCAAGTAAAAAAACTTAAAGCTATTCAATGCAAAAATAAAATACTAGGTCTAGCATACATGTCACCCAATAAAAATGCTCTAATATGTTTCCTTTATAAAAGAAAAATTAAATTAGGAATAAATGATGTCCAAAATAGACCCAAGTGTGAACTTGATCTCTTTTTTTATTGCCACATAAGCTAGACTATGTTCACTTTAATTGCATTGTGAAACACTTTTTTATAAACTAGTCTATTTCATACATATAGTGCTAATAATGTACTAGATCAAAATGCTCAATTAAATTCTAGTGCTTCTTCTATTAGTGAAGTTTCTAAAAAAAAAATATATCAAACGACCCAATGCACCTTGGGTCGCTAAGGAAACAACCTCCTTGTATAATTACAAGGGTAAGGTCTGCGTACAACTGACTCCCCAGACCCCAACCAGTTGGGAATATACTGGGTATGTTGTTGTTGTAGTAGTCTATTTCATACATGGCATGTGATTTTTTCTAAGAGACCAAAGCATTGCGGGTTCTCTTAACAGCTTGATTTGCGTTCTACACAAGATTTTGAGGTTTGTTCTCATATGTTAAGAGGTAATTTGAAGTGAGAAAAAAATTGATACTGACCGACCGAATAATATTTTTACATATTTTAACTCAAAATTCAACTAAAATTTAATGCAACTTAACTTTTATATTTTTTTATCAATATAACTAAATGATATCTATCAATCATTATTACGTATTACATCAATAGAAGTTACTATTCATTCACTCATATTTGAACTACCCATCATTTACAATCACATATTTCATACTTTCACATCAAATCTACTTTAATAATTATAAGTTATGTATTATTTAAATACAAACTCAGTATCTCACTCAATCAACTTTAATCAAAATTAATTCATTTTACCCAATAAATCAAATCAAAACCAAAATAATAGCTTCCAGTCGCCCCCTAAGTTTTGCACTACAAGGGGAAACATTTGCCATCCGACTTGTCCTGTTCTTGCTGGGATTTAAGTTGGATTTAAATAGCTTTATGGTATCAGTTGTCATCGTGTTTGTACTCGCGTTTATTGAGTTTGAAGTTTAATAAATTGCTATTTTTTGCAAAAACAAAAAAAAAAAAAAAAAAAAAAAAAAAAAAAATTGACTGGAGCTCAACTCGACTCATATATCAAACAAACTGACACATATACTTAACAAAGTGATTAGAGTTTGAATCTTAATGAACTCAATTGAAATGAAATCACGAGTGACTTGATTTGTTTAACAGCTCTAGTGAGCCTTTTTTTTGGACTAGTTTGTACTAAAGCTAATGCAAGTGTAAGCGTCCTGGTCCGGTTTGAACGGATAGATCTTGGTCCTCGCCGGTAGAACGCCGGAAACCTGCAAATAACTCTCACACCGGGGGTTGTATCCGGTGAAGAGCCTCCGATGCTTAAGTCAGTGCTCAGATCAAGAGAGATAAAGAGTGTAGTATGGAATGAATAGAGAGAATGAGAGAATGAGGTACCTTGGCCCCTTTTATAGGGAGAGTGTACCTTTTGGGCCAAGTTGGGCCTGACCCCTATCGTTGGGCTTAGATGGCTTAAAGGCCTTATCTTCCAATATGTATCCGCTTTATCCATTAAACTGGGTCTAGTATAATATTCTATATCATCTAGTCCCCCCCACTCTGGTCGAGTAAGCATAACTCGATCCAAGGGTGAAATGCCTCTTCGAGTTATTTTCTTCAACTTGCCACTAAGATCGAGCATTGAAAGTCGAATGACCATTGAATAACCACTGAAATATCCTCCAAATGAGCTTTGAGATCTCAAGATCGAAAACCGAAAGACCACGGAGGTCGGAAACTGAATGATCTGATGTCGGGGTCGAAAACCAAAAATCAAGACCGCTGAGGTCGAAAATCGAGAATCGAGACTGCTGAGGTCGAGAATCGAGAATCGAGACCGTTGAGGTCGAAAACCGAGAATCGAGACCGCAAGAGGTCGAAAACCGAGAATCGAGACCGCAGAGGTCGAAAACCGAGAGTCGAGACCGTTGAGGTCAAAAATCGAGAATTGGGACCGCAAGAGGTCAAAAACCGAGAGCCGAGACCATTGAGGTCGAAAACTGCGAGTCGAGACCGTTGAGGTCGAAAACCGAGAGTCGAGACCGTTGAGGTCGAAAATCGAGAATCGAGACCGCTGAGGTCTAAAACCGAGAGTCGAGACCGCTGAGGTCGAAAATCGAGAATCGAGACCGCTGAGATCTAAAACCGAGAGTCGAGATCGTTGAGGTCGAAAACCGAGAATCGAGACCGCAAGAGGTCGAAAACCAAGAATCGAGACCGCTGAGGTCGAAAACCGAGAGTCGAGACCGTTGAGGTCGAAAATCGAGAATCGGGACAGCAAGAGGTCGAAAACCGAGAGTCGAGACCATTGACTGCGAGTCGAGACTGCTGAGGTCGAAAACCGAGAGTCGAGACCGTTGAGGTCGAAAATCGAGAATCGAGACCGCTAAGGTCTAAAACCGAGAGTCGAGACCATTGAGGTCGAAAACCGCGAATCGAGACCGCTAAGGTCGAAAACCGAGAGTCGAGACCGTTGAGGTCGAAAACCGCGAGTCGAGAGACCGTTGACCGAAGTCTTGAATTTGAAAATTTGAATTTACGTCTGTTGTGTTTCGATCACCATGTTCGAGCTCTCTTATACCACCTCGTCCTATCACCCCTCAGTTCAAAGTTTATGATTCAAGCCTGTTGTATATTCCTTTGAAAAATAAATCAACCACCAACCTGCTCAAGCCGTAATGAATATACTCGACCCGCCACTAAAGTCGAAAAATCAATTCGACGGAAGCATAACCAAATAAAGCACAATCAACCTGCTCAAACCATAATGAATATACTCGACCCGCCACTGAAGTCGAAAAATCAATTCGACAGAATCATAATCAAATAAAGCACAATTAACCTGCTCAAACCATAATGAATATACTCGACCCGCCACTGAAGTCGAAAAATCAATTCGACAGAATCATAATCAAATAAAGCACAATCAACCTGCTCAAGCCATAATGAATATACTCGACCCGCCACTAGGGTCGAAAAATGAATTCGACAAAACAGAATCAACAAACAACCTGCTCGAGCAAAAATGAATATACCTGACCCGCCACTGGGGTCGAAAAACAATTTCGATAATCCAGAATCAACAATCAACCTGCTCGAGCTATCCGTAGCGAGTTTGATCGACCTGCCACTGAGGTCAGAAGCACAAATAGTACAAAACCAAATCAAATAAGTTCGTTAACCTACTCGAGCTATCCGTAGCGAGTTTGATCGACCTGCCACTAAGGTCAAAAGCACAAATAGCACAAAACTAAATCAAATAAATCCGTTAACCTGCTCGAGCTATCCGTAGTGAGTTTGATCGACCTGCCACTGAGATCAGAAGCACAAATAGCACAAAACCAAATCAAATAAATCCGTTAACCTGCTCGAGCTATCCGTAGTGAGTTTGATCGACCTGCCACTGAGGTCAGAAGCACAAATAGCACAAAACCAAATCAAATAAATTCGTTAACCTGCTCGAGCTATCCGTAGTGAGTTGGATCGACCTGCCACTGAGGTCAGAAGCACAAATAGCACAAAACCAAATCAAATAAATCCGTTAACCTGCTCGAGCTATCCGTAGTGAGTTTGATCGACCTGCCACTGAGGTCAGAAGCACAAATAGCACACAACCAAATCAAATAAATCCGTTAACCTGCTCGAGCTATCCGTAGTGAGTTTGATCGACCTGCCACTGAGGTCAGAAGCACAAATAACACAAAACCAAATCAAATAAATCCGTTAACCTGCTCGAGCTATCCGCAGTAAGTTTGATCGACCTGCCACTGAGATCAGAAGCACAAATAGCACAAAACCAAATCAGATTAAACAAACAAGGCCTTATGTCACGGTCACCTACCTAACCTTTGGAAGCTTGGATTGCGGAGTGTGCACGCACAACTCATCAAATTAATTACTCATTTTCCATTAAAGATTGATTAGACCACCACTAAACCCTTATTAATTTCCACAAACTAATTATTGTATTTGTCAAAAAGATAGTAAAAAATGAATACCACTTCAAGAAACAAAAGGGTTGATTGTGGTCACCAAAACCAACCACACGCCGAGAGTATGTTGTTCTTCTACCTAACACGCCTCAACCACCACTAAAGAAAAAAAGAACCGTTCAGCTCCTCACCCACAAATTTTTTGTAGATTGTTCGTCTTGTTTGCGTCTTAATTTCACCTAAATTGTTCTTCAATCGCATCCCCTTTCTCTTTCCTCATTTGGGTTTTTTTTTCCGGGTTGAATAATGGAGGCCCAGCTTTTGCGAGCCGCCTCTTCGTCATTTCTCGCCCCCCCAAGTCCCGGAATCTCGAGGCCCAGTTGGGTTTCTCACCGTCAAACGGAGCATAAGAAGGTCAGCCGCCGTCTCAAGGTTTTTCAGAAGTTTTCCGGCGATGGGGTCTCGGCGGCGGCTCGTGCCTCCACGGCAACTATTGGGTACAATACTGACTCCCCCTTTCCAATTTGAATTCAATTTGAGCTGTTGGGTCTGACTTTTATTGCTTGATAAAGCTTTGTTGGAGGGAAGACATGATTTTCATATAGTATAATATTTTATTGAAAAAAAGGGGCACTTGCAGTTATTTCAGTCTCTAGAGGACCTTTACCATCATAAATTCCATATAATATAATATATTTACTGGTGAAAAAGTATAGATGCTTGTGAAGCAATATAATTAACCTCTTGCTATTATAGACACTAGAGTGTCTTTGAAGTTTATTATTACAGTAAGTGATTGATCTTGTTACTTGCATTTCAGAGTGGTGTCGAAAAATAGGGTAGACGAGACCCAGAGCTACACTCTTGACGGTATACGGAACTCTTTAATACGGCAAGAGGATAGCATAATATTCAGTCTGGTTGAAAGGGCTCAATTTTGCTATAATGAGGAGACATATGATCCCAATGCCTTTGCCATGGATGGATTTAACGGCTCATTAGTCGAGTACATGGTCAAAGAAACCGAGAAGCTACATAGCAAGGTCAGCTTAACTCTGCTCTAGATTTATAATATTTGTGAAAACATTTTTTAGTATGCTAAATGCTGTTTTTTTTTTTTTTTTTTAGGTTGGAAGATACAAGAGTCCAGACGAGCATCCTTTCTTCCCGGATGATGTGCACGAGCCGATGCTGCCACCATTGCAATATCCACGGGTAACTATTAGAATTTAAATGTGTTGGAATCAAGGTTTAATTGTTGAAAATTAATTGGTGATTAGTTGTATTTGTTCATTTTCAGAAGAGAACTTCATGTTGTTTTCTTATAATGCTAAACCTTAACTGAAATTACATTGTAACAGGGATAATATTATCAAAGCTGTTCTAAACGAGTAAATTACTTCAAGTTTCAGACAAGTTTGCAAATTTGCATTTATCGTTTTTGTCTAATACTTTTCATGGAATGATATATTGGAACTCTTAATAGGTTCTGCATCCCTCGTCAGACTCGATAAATATAAACTCCCAAGTGTGGGATATGTATTTCAAGAATCTGCTCCCTCGATTAGTGAAAGAAGGGCATGACGGTAATTATGGATCAACTGCGAGTTGCGACACGATTTGCCTGCAGGTATATATCTATATATATGTAAAATATATTATTTGAAGAACTCGTTTTTTTTGTCGTGATTTAAGCTTTTTGAATGTGTGCGTTACATTCTATAGGCTCTGTCAAAAAGAATTCACTATGGTAAATTCGTAGCCGAAGCCAAATTCAGAGGCTCACCAGAGGTTTATAAACCTGCTATTGAAGCACAAGTAAGCTAGCAATACTATTTTATTTTATTTTTTTTTTTTTTTCTTCAGAATACATTGTTTAAAAATGTGATTTTTTTTCTCATTTTATGTTTTTATTGTCGATGATAATGCAGGATGGGGCCCGACTAATGGATCTGCTGACATATCCAGAAGTTGAAGAGGCGATAAAAAAACGGGTTGAGATGAAAACCCAAACTTATGGGCAAGAAGTAACTGTGGTTGGGTGTGGAGAAAATCCGAATCCAATTTACAAGATAAACCCGAGCCTTGTTGCGAATCTGTACGGGGACTGGATTATGCCTCTCACGAAGCAAGTTCAGGTCGAGTACTTATTGAGAAGGCTTGATTGATTTAAAGATTTGAAGAGATGATGATGATTATCTTGGTTTGTGAGGGTTTACTGCATCTGTTTATTATTATTATTATTATTATTATTATTATTATTATTATTATTATTATTATTATTATTATTATTATTATTATTATTATTATTATTATTGTTTTGAAAGATTGCTTGTTAAGTGCTTGAATCACTATTATTACAGTTAATTCTCCTGTCTATACACATGTAATAAGGTATACTTGAAATGTGTTTATGATAATGAGTGAATTTATCTTGTTTTGTGATTGAAGGTCTTTGGACGTGCTTGGATACAAATATATCCGCTCAAAATGAGTTTTTTTTTTTTTTAATCATAGTTAATATTTAAAAGGATTGTATGTTTAGTTGTTAGTTGAATTTTAAATTTATATTAAAATAATTAAAATTGATTTGATGTAAAAGTAAGAGAATGTGATGTGAAGTGATGCTTAGTTAAAATTATATGAGCGATTGAATAGTGAATTAAAGTTGATGCATTTGATCGATTGATATTATTTAATTATATTATAATATTGAGGACAGTGAGATTGAGTTAAAGTCGATTTATATTTTAATTATGGACTAACTATGAATTTAGACAATTTATGAACAAACAGACCCTTTGAATATCTTGAATCAGTATAAATGGAGGCTATGGTAAACTGTTATGTAATTCATGTTTTTTCAGGTATAACTTTTCAGTTTAGATTTTTTTTTTTTTTTTTTTTTTTTTTTTTTTTTTTTTTTTTTTTTTTTTTTTTTTTTTTTTTTTTTTTTTTTTTTTTTTTTTTTTTTTTTTTT